AAAAAAAGGGTAGAACATCAGATGGGAAGTGGTCAAACCTCTGAACAATGCTAGCCTTTTTTAGGCGTTCAGTTAGTTGGAGCGAAACGTGAAAAATAGCGCGCGAAAAAAGTCAAAAAAGGCGCGCTGTTTTTCGCGCTTCGCCCCAACTGACTGAATGCCTGGAAGAGGTTGCAACAATGCGAAAATAAACATTGCAACAGGTATATTCCAGGGCACTGCCCACAACTTAATTATGTCAACCGCAGACGTTTTTGACACTTTCAGAATCAAATAATTAATGACGCTCTTGCCAAATTCCGTCCAAAGAACGGCTAAAACTTTTCTTTCCAGTAGATGATCTTCCGGATGCATTCCAACTCCTGTTCCTTTAAGTATTTGTGAATAAATCTTAATACAAATCTTATATACAAATATATTTATCTCAACGGCCGCCACGCTTCATGTTTGAAATTGTACCGGAAGTCAGATATCCAATCACGTAACCAATGAGAAAGGCGAGTTTAGATAATCTTTTGTTTTACGACCAATCAGAAAAAAGTCCCGATTCTGGACTACGGACAGACGACTCGTGAAGTAATTATATCAGGCGTTGTTTTTTTTCTCTTTCCTTTGGCCTGCTGTGAAAAAAAGGATCGCCTTATCACAAGTTAAGTAGCTTGACCGATATTAATAAACATGATATTTTACAAAAGCCTTCAGTTTGCCATTTCACATAGTTGTTATTCTACAGGGAAAGCAAGTTAAGTGTTTTGAGGCAATTCACCTCAGGGATTTGAGGGAACGAGGTTGAGTTATTCATTTTACATTAGAAAAAAACTCAAGGCGGAGATACATCTGACAAACAGGCTATTTTTGAACAATTTTTGCGATGTAAAATATTATTCCAAAAAAGGTTATGATCATATTAATTGCCTCAAAAGCTAATTGTAAGCTGATACCAATCAGTTAATTGTACCACATGCTGGGCGATACTAAGGCTTACTTAAGAAAAGATAACTCCCACTAGAGTCAATGAAAATACATTGCGGTCATTTGCTGTTATGTGCTGAGATTCCAATAAAGCATTTTATGAAACAAACTTTTTAATTACTATCCCATCTCGTTTGATCTTCAAAATCTGATCTGAAAATTAAATGAAGCACTTAAATTGTGAAAAAAATATTTGCTCCTTTGTTAGTAAGCACAGCTCGAGGTAAGTTATCGCAGAATTTTTCACACTTATTTGGACCATGCTTTTAATGCTAAGGTCTTAAAATTGAAATTCATCTTGAAAACCAAATTATTCTCGGTTTCGCACTTTTCTGGTTACAACACGAGTTTGTAATTTCTACTGGAATATTCTCAAAACACAATAACATTATCAGTTTAAATAAGTGGAAAAAGAGCAAACATTGAACTTCAACAATCCATCTACCTAGACATGCGCATAGTTAAATGGTCAACAATCCATTATGGGATTTTCTCTGCCTTCAAAGAAACAAATTTTTAGACCAAAGTGAAATAGATCTTTCTGTCATTATTTTATTGCCGTCAGAAATTGCTGGCAGGGAAACATACTTAGCGATTTCAATAAATATTTCCTTACTTATTAAGGTCAATTTGTTTAAAAACCAAGCAATAAGATAGTTAAGTGTAAATAATATTGTTAACTCACCAGTTTCTTTCAGCTTGGTGGAAAGAATGCAAAAAAGGCCACGACAATCTCTTTTTTACAATAGGACTTCGTTTGTCTACAGGATAACAGAAAAAACTAAAAATACCGTTGTAGATAATTTCAAGAAAACTGGAAGTCATAGATCTCAAGGGACATGCAAAACTGAAAGTTTAGATCACTAGCAAAAGTAAACTCAAAACTTGCACTGAGTCAGAGACAAAAGTAAACGCGGAAAAGGAGGGTTCGTGACGACAATACACAAAGCTGCAGGCAACATACGTAAATAAATAATAGCACACAGCTCTAGACCATACACGAAGATAAGCATACATGCGCACCTGTCAATATGAGGCTATGACAGTACAAAACTGACAGTCATAAACAAATTGAACACAAAAAAGAAAATTCACAGACGAAGATCAGCGCGCAGGAAACTGAAAGTCACCGTGCTGAAAATCTAAAGAGTACTTTTCTTGCCCTGAACATTAAAATCATTCCTTTACTTTTTTACATTTAAACTTTAATGTGTGTAGCTATAAAGGCATGGCTTAAACTTACTAATGTAAACTAGAGTTGTGAGAATCTGAACGTAATCCAACTTCACCCACTTCAGCGACAAGGCTCTTCCCGTAAAACGGACGACGATACATCAGTAGTTAGTTCTAATAAATATTCAAAAACATTTTAATGCACAGCAAACATGTCAAACGAGGGTAGGGAATAGAGGATGTCTAGATTAAGTGTAATGTTCTTACCGTCACTTGATCAGTCCGGCAAAATCATAGTGTAATCCAGTTTAGTCTGGATCAGCAAAAGGACAACGAATTATTAGTGACATTTAAATCTTCTCAATGTATAGTAACGACATGAAAACTAAAGAATAACTTAGACACAGCGATTTCTTTCTTTAATGCTTAGCTATGTACACAGAATTTCGTTCAGATCTTGAAAACGGATCCTGCGTTTCTATTAGAATTGGTTAGTTAGATGTCGCCAATTAACATACCGTTGTAAAGTACTATATAAGCTAGAATGATTGACTTAATAATAAAGTTATCGTATTATTATAAATGAAATTTGTATAGTAATATACATACAAACCAATCGTCACTCCCTCAACTTGTTCCTAGCTGAAAAGGTTCGTTTCTTTTAGCGAGACTGAGGTGTGTCGTCAAAGGATATGATTTAGTGTCAAGTTCGATTGGCCTTTAATAAATGGAGTAGCGTCCAGTCCACGTTCCGGCCTTGCCTCACTTTCATTAGCAGGGTTTCCCGGGGGCGTATCGGCTGGTCCAATCATCCTTGTGTTCGTTGACTCGTTGTACTCGCCCATCTCGCTCGCTTTCTCTCCTCGCAGAAAGGATTTGGTCTTTCCTTTGCTCCTTTGTTTATTTGTATTGTACGGTTTTAGTTTTTGCTTTAATTCACATTTTCGTTTGGACTTTAGTAATACACCATAGCATTGCAGGATAAAGTAAACGGAAGGCAAAATCCGTATTTAGATTCAAGAGTCAAGATTTCATTGGTAATTTCATTTGCATTTGGAAAGACTCCCCGCCGTTGCCTCATTTGCAAGCTAGTTCCAGTCCAATACTGAATATACAAACATGGCCGACTAAATTTTGCTTCTCAGACGTGGTAATCCCTCCCCCGTTGGAAAATAAAGATAACAAAGGACCCAAAATGCACCTTCTTATCTATTACAAACTTATCTTCGCTGCTTTGGCAAACTTACTTGAGGGCCCTGAAATCATCATTTTTCCTGATCACGCTTTTTTATAACATATAACATTCCATTTCATGTTGATAATTAAGTAACTGCTTCACGCCCGCCGACAAAGCAGTTTCTGTTTTGTGCCTTCAAAAAGCTCATATTCTAAAAGTAATTGGACTCCAGCTGAGATTTATATTGTTTACAGTTTTAATTTGTTCCTCTAGACCTTAAATCAACAAACACAAGAAACGACCAGTTAACTTCTCATAAGTAGTACATGCTGAAAGAATAAAAAAGTATTTCTGCTTTGATAACAGTCACTGCTTGCGACAAACTGAAGAAAGTGTAATGCAGATGATTTTTTTGAGTCACCCTGCTTAAACTTCTCGCTACCTCATGTCAATTAAACTACTAGTGTTATCCGTTTTCTTTTCCACTGTTTATCAGCAAGACAGCTAACTGTATCCTAACAGATAAAAACTAAATTAATTTAGATTTCACTTAATTAGTCTTTCTCGTCGACAATGTTCACCAAAAATTCTTGATTATATTCTTTTCTTTCCTTACGTAAATTTGGCTAAACGCTTAATGCTTGTCATTGTATAATTACAAGAAAAACAATGGCGTATGTTATAACAAGTAAATGCGTCTTTGACAAAAGTTAAACGCTTTGCGCTTAATATTTCTACCGAGGCATCGTTAGACAGGAAATGACAGAAAGTTAAAGGTTCATTTAATTTATATACAACTTAGCACTAGCAGTAAAACTGTCCATTGAGGTCATGGTATATTGTACATCTCAGGCGATCCCTCGCTGCCATCCTGGTCATTCTTTCCAACACCTGACAAAGGAAATAAACAAACAGAAAGAGACAATCATTAGCTGCGCTAATGTTCATTTACTTCCGAAGGTCTTGATTAAGCGTTTCCTTAAAAAGCAGTTGCCTAATTATGAAACTGATTTATTTTAAAAGATTCTTTTCTGCGCCCTGATTGGCTCAATATTACATTTTATCCAAGCCTAAAACAAGAAAATTCTGTCTTCGGGTTTCGCCCTAGTAAATAAGCTAAAGCCTTGAATTGTACCATCATAAAAGACTATGGTAAGTTAAGACAACTTGTTCTTGCTTTCTTAATTTAAAATTTAACAGAATTAAAACTAAATTTTAAACGGCATGGTATATGGTTGTGGCGTATTGATTGTAAATAGGTCATTACGAAGAAAGCGTCATAAATTATAAGAACGTCAGTTAGAACCGCCAACAGTTTCAGGGTAGACTTGTGAACGATTTCGACCTCATTGCAATGCTGTGCAAGCTTGTGAAGAAGGGTGGATCATAAAAAAACAGCGTCATCCATTTTTCTTTTACAACAACATTATTTTTTAAAAAAAATTAACAGGACATAAGGTCATCGTCCAATCGCGCACAAAATAATAATCAACCGTAATGTTAAAGAAACTATTGCCAATTTAAAAAAAAAAAATGATAAAATTTTTGTAGCGCCATTTCCTAATGGTCCAATGGCGCTTTACAAGAAATTAAATCTACAAACAAATTCCCACTATAAAACTTAAGAAAACGTAAACAACAGATAAAACGAAGACAAGTCTGTCAAGATTGGTGTTATCCCACTTTATAAATTTCCACGTTTTTCATCAATTGTAAAGCTACCGTCAGAGTCTCTTGATAGCATCACCGAAAACATCTCAGGAAATACTAAATGAATACCAGGAGCCCTTTAGTGTAAAAAAAGCGCTTGCTTTCAATAAAACCTTACCTTTCTTTCCAAAATCAAATGTCACGTCATCTCCAATCAGTAT